CCTTGGACCCTGATTAGCTTCTTCAGGTGTGTTTGATTAGGTTTGGAGCCGAACTCTGCAGGACTGTGGCTATCCAGGACCAACGCCGGCCTTTTTCTGGTATACAGGAATCTTACCAAAGCATGTGGACTATTAACATCTGACACTACAGTGCCTTTTAAACACAACGTCGTTCATCAGACATGAGGCTAATAAAGTTTAATATTAATTTAATCCAATAGAGTTTTTGTTTTAGTCCAAGGTATTTAAAAAGAAAAGGTCATCCTAAATCTGGTAAGATGAATGTTTTAAATGTGGTCAGAAAGAAGCATAGAGATTTCGCAGTTTATTTCTGTACACTTCTAATTACCTGTTACTGATTATTTACTTTTAATAATTCATCTTTATCAAACATATGTCTGTATTTCTTTACCAAATGTCTGACTGTAAAAGTGAACACCTGTAATGAAACTTTTATTAACATATTCGCTGAGCTCCAGACACCGGACGTGTAGTGTCAGGAGCCATGTTGTGCAAACTGTTCAATACAACAGAATAAAACTGTTTACAATACTGCGTTTAGTTTCATTACCCCTTTCAAGTGAAACCCCGAAACTGGGGTTTATGAAGGAAGTGCAGGGGCTAATAATTGCATAAATAAAATTTACATTAAAAAAATGCTAAATCAAAATGAAGCATTTCCTAAAAACATAAAAATATTTGTAGATTTTATATACTGGAAAAATTGTAAATTATATCATAAAAACTAAGGGGGACGTCAAGAAAATATTTGAGGTCAAATGGGTTTAGCTGACAAAAATGTTTGGGAATCTCTGATTTAATGTTTAATAAACTCAAAGAATAGGCACGGTACACCAATGTTTTACTTCAGTCATAAATATGTTTATTTTCATGAATATAGAAGAAACACAAAACCAAACTGTTATCAGGATAGCGACTTGTTGCATCACCTTCTCCCCTGATTTTTGATCTGATATTGGTTGCACTGAAAACTTTACAGAAGTACTTCCTTTCCTGAGAAGCCCCACGCCTCCTGCCGTCTTATACACCACCTGTCCAGTGCTTTCGGTTGTGGATGTCGTACTTGTTGTAAGTGTTTCTGAGACAAAGACAGGTTCAGAGTGTGGCGTAGGTGGACAGGATACTCGGACAGGTGGCAGAGTTACAGATGCTGTCTTGTTATGACTTATTAAGGTCACTTTGTTTCCAACACTCTAAAAGTGTCCCCTGAAAGCCACTTATAGGCTCAGGCAACACTGAAGCTCGTGGGTTCGCTGTTGCATGTTCCCTGGATGCAACTTCCACATTAAAATCAGATGTCAAAGAGCTCTCTGGGTCTGTTTTTCCTCTCTTGCACGGACTCAGTTCCTCACTGAATGCACCAGTTTGGCGCCGGTTTGAACTGCGTGTGAAGGGTCCAAGCTCTGATGAATGCATGACAACATCAGGTCTGTCGAATAGGCATCTTGATTCCTAATTTACATTCTCTGCCAAAAAAAGTCAGCATGCATCAGTCAAAACAAACATCACTGAATGCATTCGGAAAATGGAAAACAGGAATTGAAAGATAAAAAAGTGCTGCTACAACAAGCAAGGCAAGGATATTTGAAACACTTCCTTGTAATAAATTCATCATATTGTTTGGTTAGTTATGCATTAGAATGTCAACAATCCTTTAGGGCTTGTATTGTTTTTTCTTCTCTTTGCACTGCTAAGAACTTACATAAAGTCCATGCAGCCTTATAAGTGTGATGTGTAACTCTTTCACGGTGGCTCTTTTGTTTGGCCATCGTCCCTGAAATACGGCACAAAGACACACATCAGTCTTTAAGTCTTCGGTCACTAAGACAACGTTGCTATATTAAACACTGGATTTTGGAAATGTCAAATTGATATCATGCATGCATGCAAACAAACATGTTTTGGCCACATCGAAATGTTTACTTCACATTAAAATGCCTTGATTTAAATATCCACAAAGTTCAGGATTTTTATTGAATGCATTGAAATAATTTGTCCAACACAAAAAATAAAGTCATTATTTAGTGGCATCAATAAAAGTCACAGATAAAACACTGTCATATAAATATTAAATGCATGTATGTTTATGTTCCCTCTCTTAATAACAAATCTCTTTTTGCCGTCCAGTCCATTTAGTTATCTTCTGTTTTACTGATCAGGACTCTGAGATCATCCAGACTGGAGCAAACCAACTACAGAATGCAAACAAACGTTTTATTATATTTGTTTTTATTTACATGCACTGGTACTGAATTTATACTGTAAAGCATTTTTTTAAATACAGGTTGAGTTGAGTCTATGTTTAAATGAGTGTGGTTTTTATTATTCAAACATTGTAATAAATTCGAACAAATGCTGAACTGAATATCTGCTGCTCTGGAAGTCGGACCGAATAAACAGCAAGCCATGCTTACAGATGCATTATGGGATGCTGGGCTGAAACGTTCATATTTACTTATAAAAGCTCTGCTGAATGAGTGAAAATAAATGCAAATCATCTGTGAAATGCAGAACATTTGAAAGCCTATAAAACGCTTGAGGTTTTGAAAATAAGATTGAAATCAACAACAAACATTTTGAATGCAAAACTAACCAAGCAATCTGGAAGTGGTGAGAGAAAGTGTTTTTATTAAAAGAATTCTACGCAATGTAATATTGTGAACTATTATTATGATGTAAAATAATGTTTTTCTATTTTAATATACATTAAACTGTAATGTATTTCTGTGATCTGCAGCTGTATTTTCAGCATCATTACTCCAGTCTTCAGTGTCACATGATCTTCAGAAATCAGTGTAATACTAAATCAGAAATAATTCTAATCACATTAAGAATCGCAAACAATTTTTGTATCATAAATTATGTTTAAATATGCAAATGAGGTATTATCTCATTAAAAATGCTGTAATAATCATACATTTACAGTACATGTGATCATTAGATAAATCCAGGTTTATAATTCTTGTTTGATTTTATTGTCATATATTACAGATTTCTCTTTTTAACCCTCCATAAATCAGAAAATACTGTCAACAGAAAGATTTTCACCATGTTTTTTTAGGAGTAAAATGTATAAATCAGTGTGAATGAAATATGTGTCAAAGATGAAAAAGGGTTTAAGCATAAAAGCAATAAATGTAATACTGCTTTAAATTGTTGTATTTCACAAAAAAATGTAAATAAATTCTGTTTAATTTAATTGCAATTTTGTTTTTCTGAGCAAAAAATAAATATGAAACATTTCCCCTGATTTACAGAAGAGAGCCACTAAAATGTCACTCAGAGTAACAATCCTGTCAGGCATATTTACAACAAAAATCTATTTATGACACATTAAAAGATTAATTACGTTCACCCCAAATACTAATCAGCTGTAATTTTACATTTTTAAAATGTGCCACTATCCTAGGTTTTGCCCATTGGTCAGTAAGAAGTTTTTACTCATTTAAAACACAATCAAATTTAATATGCTCCCTTATTATTTTATATATTTTAATATGTGCATGTCAGAATAAGCATGTTGTTTGAATTTTTATATAAATATTGTGTTACACTGAATGACAATGTAACATTATTTCAACCAAATTTTGACATTTTATTCTCCAAAAACATATCTGAAACTTTAAAAGTAGACACTTTACTAACATTTAATGTGCTTTCTATGGACATAAAATCACTTTAGTAAATTTCTTTTGATGCGGACATCTTAACGTCTTTGACTCATGAACAAACCTTCAGAATATAGAAAGAAACTAAAGTTTGGTGAATGTAAGAGAAAAAACTCTACAGATGCAAACAGATGAATTGGGATGGATGTTTTCTTTCCACTTCAGCTCGTCGTTGGCTTTTCTTTTCACCTGGACAACAAGGCCAGCTTTTGCTCTAGAATGATCTCCAGTTTCTGGGCCTGTTTGGAGATCCAGTGATCGACGGTAACGGTTCTCTAGCATCAGTCTGAAATCTGACACGAACGCCGTGATGGACTCGTACTGGCGGTGGACGAACCTATCGTCCATCTTTCTGAAGCACATCACGGCGTGGGCCCCGGCCAGAACGGGGCGGTGATGCACTTATGCTTCTCTGAGAGGAAGCTCTGAAATATTCTGTAGGCCTGCTGGATCTCGGGCGTGAGATCGTCCTCGTCGTGCAAGTGTGTCGTGAGATTTGCTCAGTCGAACCGTTGCAGGAGGTCAAGGTCAAGCGGTGGTTCGGGTTCATGTCCGGGGAGGCGTGTGATGCGGGTGCACACGCGTGTGCGCTCTCACACGTGTCCGAATGAAGCTTCATTCTCACCTCGCTCACCTGCACAGGTAGCATCATCTGTCAATCAACGTCAATCTGTCATCACAAGAAGCCATTGCTGTTCCTGATGGAGCCTGTTTGAAACAAACAAACAAAAAAAACTAATTAATTAGTTCTTCCTATGACCATTATAAGCATACTAATTAACTAATGACTGAATGCATTTCCATAAACTAATTTAAAGTGCATTATCCAGCTCTAAAATGAGTTAACCTTTCATTCTTGTCATCATGTTAATGTTTCATGAGTTTTCACGACATTACCGGAGCACTGTTTAATGTTGTCGAGGGAGACATTAAACCGCCCGCACTAGGCCGCGGCGACAGCGGCCTCGATTTCACTCTCACACCCGGAGGGCTCGCCTGAGCCGGGCAGCCGCCGCTCTCTCTCCCGCGGACCGCCGAAGCTCATAGTTCCAGTGTGCCACGATCTGGCAGAAAATCTGGCAGATTTTGGTAAAACGAGCAGCAGAGAAAAGCGTGTGTGTGTGTGTGTGCGTGCAGGAAAAAATATAAAAATAAAACTTTATATATCTACATTTTAAAGCACCATGATAATACCTGGTTTTATTACAACGAGAAGAAAAGCAATGAAATCTGATTCTTTTCTCCATTCTCTCCTGACATGAACGTGTGAATATTCTAGTTCTATTTGACCTAAAACTCCCACATTCTGTC